TGCTGGCAGGAGTGCAAGGAGGTGCATTTCTGAAAGGCTGTTTTACAACAGATATCAAAAACTTCAAAATGTACAAAATCCTTAATTCAATTCTGTTTTGATCATTTTATGCTAAGGAATATATTAAGGATGTGCACACAACTTAAGCTTCAAGAATATTCATCATAGCATAATAATATAAATAAATACATGTAAATACAAGAGGGAGGGGGCAGTAAACTCAATGCCCACCCAATGGGAACTGTATAACATTATGGAGTCATTAAAATGACATTTTAAAATTTAAATGCAAAATATTTACAATATATTAGAATTAAAAAGCAGGTCACTGAACAATATGTAATCTAAGAGATATGAAGGAGGCATTTGACATGTTAACTGTGATTATCTCTGGGTAATGGGAGATTATGGGATTTCTTAACATTTTTATCATTTTTCTTTTTGTTTTTTACTAAAATGAACATATATTACTTCTTAATAAGAAAATAACATACAATCACAGTTCTTAAAAAGAAAGGTGAGTTCTCACACAAACTCCCAGGTTACCTCTGTATTCCAAGCTCTGCTCCCTGCCAAAATCTCTAGACTCCCATGACAATGGCTCAGGGGGGACCAGGGATTCAGTAAGGAGCTAGAGAAAATCCTAGGTCTTCTGTGCCATGTCCTGACTATAGGGCTGGTTACACAAACCCATACATACGTTAAACCTCACAGAACTGTAGGTCCTCTGAAAAAAGTTTTAAGCAATTCCATGTATAAATATGAAAATAAATATTTTTGACTGAAAAAAGTTATAGGTGCTATTAAAAAAAAAAAAAAAAAGGCACTACCTTTCCTGAATTATCAAGTCTGACTAGTTAGATGGTGATCATTTAGCCAGGTAATCTCATCACCCCCAGACTCAGTGAAAAGACCCGTCTGTCTTTCTCTGTAAAGTGGAGATAACTTCTCTCTTACAGAGTACTCGCGAAGATTCAGTGCGATAATACATGAAAAACATGTTACAAACAGGAACTGTGGGTTATCATCAACATGAGCTCGTCTCACCTACCACATGAACAGACTCCTGGGAAAAGAGCAAAACATCTCTCCTAGGAAGCTGCCATCTCTGAATTCTGTGTGGCTGGGGCACATGCTCGATTATTATGTAGCACTGCATACGATTTACCTTGTAACTCACCAAGATTCAGAGTTCCTCCTGGAGCCACAGAACGTGGTAGGGAGCTAACGGTAGGAGCAGCTGCTTATACCGACACCACAGAGAGGGGTACAGATGCCTTAGCTCACAATCCCATTACAGTAGAGGGTCTTGGTTAATTCTGGTTTTAAGAGAAAGATTTCTCTTCTTGTTAGTCAAAGACTTTAAACCAAGTAAATCAACAACAAACTCTAAGGATAAAGCATTTAACAATGCTTTTCATTTTCAAAGCCACACATTCCTCTCCAGTTTCTCAGGGTCATACCTCCCTACTGAATGATTACAGAGGGTTGCTGATATGGTACACGGAAAAAAACTCCTATGAAGTCCAATCTCTAATAGAAAAAGCAAACAGCTCAGATCCCAGCCAGCCACGACAAAGGAGCAACAAAGCCAAACAGACAGGAGCCCTCCGAGCATCTGTGAATCTGCCTGTTCCTTTGCCTCCTCAGAACGAATCACAGGACTACTCAGAATAAGAAACCAAAAGGGCAGAAGCCCAAAAAGCAGATGGGTCTGAATTTCATGCTGTTTCCCAAAAGTGAGCTTGCATGCTGTGTTAGTTATTTGCACAGTGGGCAGATGAGGCTGACAGCTTGAGGGGGCTATTTTCGGGGGATACACTGCAAGTCTGGTTAAGAGAAGATTCTGGGCCCCGCTCTCCCAGGAAGCATTTTCAGCTCCCAGGCTGACCCTCCATCCATACAGGGGTTAAGAGCCTGTCAGCTAGCCCAGCAAGCACAGTCTTTGTATTTAAATCATCCCAAGAGGACTCACATCTCCCGGCACAGCCAGCCAGAACCTGGGGGAGGAGAGAGAAGAGCAAGAGGCGGGTGTGGGAGTGGACCTCCTCCACCTGTAACTGCTGCCTGATCCAGGAAGCTAAATACACTGGAAAAAAAAAAAAGAAGGAAGAGGCTGGGAAGACTGAAGAGCCGGAAGAGCAGTTAGGAGTCTCAACCTAACTACCGAAATGCTTCCATCCCTGACCCTGTCCCCATCCCCTCCTCCTCTCAGCTGGTCACCAAGTGTCTCCCTACTGGGAGCACTCTCCCCACGGGGCCAAAGGCAGCTGCGAATGCAGATCAAAGGCACAATGGTGTCCAGTGTCTACACCTCCCTCATGCACGGGGACTCGACTGAAAAGGGTTCTAGGTGATCAAAGGGCTCCCAGACAACAGTTATAATCTCTTTCTGCGGCCAAGTGCTCTGCCCCTGGCCTATACCCCCAGTTATAGTCTCTGTCTGATAAAAAGAAACCCTACTAAGTCCAAAGCAGTACAAGTAATTACACTTACATATAAGACACAGTTATACACATATACATTTACATACATATCTATTTACATACGTACATGTACACATTTTTACAGCAGAAGGCAGGCAGGAAGCCTGTTCCATAAGTCTAGAATCCTTTGCTTTCTTCATCTGATTCTAGCAGCAACAGCAATGTCTATTAGAAATTCTCTATTATGAAGGCTGATTACAGGTCAAAATACCATCCTCTTGCTTGCCTCTCCATCCCACCCCGCTCACCCAATGAGATTTGCTAATAAACTGGGAACAAAGATGCGAGAGAGATCTAGGTTGCATTCCTTGCAAGTGGGGAGCACACTCTTGCTGGAGCGTCTTAGATGGTGTACTCTGATAAACCTAGCAGGCTGAACCTCTCCGTCTCAGGCGGCCAGGGGGCCCCTCTCAGCCTCCTAACCAACAGACCCATCTCTCTCCACACCAAGAGGCACAAGGATTTTCTGACCAACAATGTGCTTCTACATCCCTTTTCAGCCCCCATAAATCATATTCCACTGTGTCAGGGAATCTGAATTCATGCTTAATAAGCCATCAACCTCATCCTTCAACCTCCACCCCAAATTTCCCTCAGACGTTGCAAGGAGGAAAGGAAATACTTAATCAGAGCTGGATTTTAAAAGCAAGCTCCCACACAAAACGGGACAACAAAATTGGGTACAAATAGCATCAAATAACCACTAACGTCTTTGGTTAAAGTGCTCGACTGCGATTCTCAGGTCCAGGTGTGAACTAGGTGGACATCCAAAGGAAGCAGAATTTGAACCTAACGCCAAATGACACATGATATTGCTCCTCGTGCCCGTTTAAGTGCTGCAGTGGCGAGATTAAATTGCTCTGCTGCAGAATTTCTCCCGTTTATAGGTTACTAAGAAACATAATATTGCTTTAAGATTTATTTTAGTGTGTCCCTCCTCACATCAGCACACTCATGAATCTTATTCATAACCAGGCTTAACCAAACCTACTTCCCCTATTTCCCCTGAGACGTAGGGAAACTTGCTGCGTTCTTCCAGGCAGACATGTATCTCAGTGTTCCAAGATCAAAAACTGATCACAGACACTCATAGCATACACCTGCCAAACGTAGGCATAATTCTTAAAAAGCCAATATGCAAAACAGCTGTCCGGGGCTGGAAGACCTTAAGACATTCTGGAAAATGTAGGGGGTCTAAAAGGATTATACAGAGTGACATGACTTTGAAAATTTCCAAACTCTTAACCAAAGCCCAAATGAGACGATGCTTTTAAATTTACCCTCCTGGAAACACTGCACAGCTAATTTGGACTTTGTATGCCCAGCTGTAGCTCAGCGCATCCACATTGCAGCCTGCCTGCTGGAGGTCTGCAGACCACTCCCTACTGAGAGAGTCCAGCCAACCCTACCAGTCTACCATCAGACTGCAGCATGATGTCCAGATCCACATCCAGGCACTAGCCGGGGGGCCCTTGGGCCTGTCCTCCTACACGCTGTATTCCTGACTGGTTGAACAATAACCAGGAAGACCCACAGGAAGAGCCACATCATGCCAGTGCTGCCACTCCCTGGTTCTCAACAACACTGGTTGCCCACACTTCCACCCATGAAAATGGTGTTCAGATACAAGGGCCTGCCACAGAAGGCCACGGAACAAGGAACAAAAGCGCTGGAGGACTGCTGGAATCAGCTGGTCTCCATCTCTCAGAGAGGGCAAGGGCTGCTGAGCTTCCACAGGGTAAGCAGAGATATTTTAAAACGAACTCCCGAAAAAAGAGGCAGTAAAGGTGACCTCAAGCAGCCACAGCTGCCATCACTCCTGCGACCTTCTCCAGTATCAGGGGCTTGTCTATGATACACCAGTCAACACTCGTGAAAGTGTCTCCTGACGCAAGAGCATACACCTTAACGCTGCTAAACCAGTCCTTTCACTCGTCCCTGTTCTTAACAGGAGATCCCGAATAGCAAAGACAGGGCAAGTTTCTCAGATAAACCGTAGAAAACTAAAGGCCAGTGAGGACGCTGGGTGGACGCCAGCTCTCCCCGGGCCTGGCTCCAACTGCTACCTGCCCCACCCCAGCACCTGGGTGAGGCCTGCTCTGGGGCCATCAGTACAAAATGACTTTCCACCCCCAGCCATGTCAGGCTTTCAGAATCCCTCCAACTAAGAAGGCCTAACTCTGACCCACCCCTAAGGGGCGACCCCACAGGTGTGACTGGCTTCAGGTACAGGACCTGGGACACTCCCAGCATGTGAGGGAAGGCTCCCTCCACGTCCGTGCCATCGGCTAAGTGCTGGCCCCGGGCCTCCGCCTCATCCTCTCCACCCACGAGGAAGTCGCAGCCCCCACACGCAGTCAGACTGATCCTCGCACTTTACGACCCCGCTCCCGCAGCCTCATTTGTTTCCTAAAACGCACAGCGGCCACCGACACCCGGCCCACGGAGCCTCTGGAATTCTCCCACCCCAACACTCGTGCCTCCCCCGGGCCGGGGTACCGGGCCGCGCCTTACCGCCGGTGTCCTCGAAGCGCGGGGGCGGGCGGTCCCGCAGCGTGGCGCTCCAGCCCGCGCGGGCCTCATCCTCCTCCGGCTCCTGCGCGTCGGGGGAGCGGGGCGGTGGTGGGGCGCCAGGGCCCCGCGGGGGGCCGGGGCGCTCGGCTTCGTCGTCCGAGGAGGCGGCCGAGGAGGAGCGCGAGGCGGCCGACGTGCTGTAGAATGGGTTCCCGCCGCTGTCCGGGCCCGACTCGCCGAACACGTCGTCCGAGATGTGCAGGCTCTCGTAGCGCGCGCGGGCCGCCTCCAGCAGCGCCGGCGCCCTCCTCCGCGCGCCCCCGCCGCCCTCGGCCA